AACAAACCCAAAACAAAAGTAGAAATGTGAACATAGGACAATCTCCTTTCAGTTACACCTCACCTTCATTAGACAAAGTCCAGATTGACCTGGGAGCAATTTACCAATTATAGATTTAGAAAAAAAAACGTCTAATGGAAATGTACAGAAAAATGCATTATGACTAAATATTATGACAACTTGATCAACTTCTTTTATTTATAATATATATCTCGACATTAACTTTTTTCTCACACCCCACTGGTCATTTTTACGAGACAAAATTTTGTTGTTGAAAACTGTAAATTTGACTTTTGCATGCAAAAAGTACTTGAGTAGGAGACATTTTACTCGATTTGGGTCATTAAAATAACTCTGACTACCAATATAATGATATAGGTAGCCTATATCTGCTGTAGTAACTTAAAACCTACAGTAGTTTGACAAAAAAAAAAAAAGAAAAAAAAAGACCAAAACAATACCCATTCTTGTCTTAAGGAAATTTTTATTGAGCAATTTTTTGAAGAACAGTAAGTTCATGACATGTTAAATATATAGTATATTCTGCTGGCTTTAAACATACATACATAATAATAAATACAGTCATGTAACAACCATAACATTACCATATGTCTTAGGACATCTTTGATTAACTTTTTACTACCTTCCCCAAATGTTGCCTAATGAAGGTACATTTTTAACAACTATTTACTTGTTAGGCTACTTTATTGTCAAACCACGTTGCGTACAAATGCATTCAACAGACCTGTATGACAGTGTATTGCTGTACATGACAAATAAAAACACGAGACAGGTGTTTAGAAAGAGAAGTTTATTTTGAACTTACCTTGGTCAATTTCTAAGAGCAGCCCCGAGAGAACTGACAACACCGAGCGAGAACCGCCGTGCTTTATAGGAATGCATATGCAAATGTTTACATGGCGACGTCACTGCTGGGAGTCTCGTTGTCATGGTGAGCGCTGAGGAGAGCACGCCTCCCATTGGACCAAACAGGCTCGGGAATCTCGGCGTGACGGCGAGTTGCGGACAAAAACATATTAAATATACTGAATATATATTTTTACATTTTTTTTGGTGCCGTGTGTTATTCTGGGATGCAGTAGAATAGGGAGACAGATGATTATAATTAAAGACCAATGACTCTGACAAACTCCTAGTGGTGGTAAGCTTCTTATTATCCAAGATCGCCATCTAGCGGTCACATCACCTAATAGCATGTTACTTGCTACTCCACTACATCATGCCCGTAGCCGGGGTGGGGGCATGCCTAGCCCTAACCTAAACGTAAACCCAATTAGTACCTTACTAATTATTAACAAACAGCTAGTTAGTTTATTATGCTAGTAGTGTTAGTTTAATTGTTTGTTAATACTGTGAATTGTGACCTAAACTGAAAAAGTGTTGCCAAAAGGTCCAGCATTTGTCCTTTTAATTGTTTTATGTAATTGAATATTATATATTTATCAAATAATGAATATAATATATTTATATTCAATATATATTCCTGTCACGTCTGTGTTTTTGAGGCTGTTTGCTCACTTCATTCGTTTTTTTTTTTTTTTGTTCTGATCAGATATCCATCCGATCGCTCAAACCACTTCAGAAGGTCATCTGGGATGCGTTCCAGATGAAACTGGACAGGTCTAATCATAACCTGAAATGAGCTTAAGTGAGAATTGGTGTCTGTACTGCAGTTCGTTGGCCTATGCTAAAGCACGTAGTTCAATAGGCCTAGATGTAGACTAAATGAGCAGTCAGTCTTGTTGAGGCTAGCCTACTCCTAATTGAGTGGAGGAACTATGACGTCAATTTGTATGCAAAAACCCGGAAGCGAGTTAGAATTTTAGCAGTTCCGGTTCCTTCGTCCCAAAGTCAATGGGTTTTCTCGATGGGGTTTCAGTAAAATCGCTTAAATAAGGTTCGTGGCAAACACAAACTCAAAATACTTTCACGTTTTGTTCTACGACATAAAACACATCACTTACAGCACACTCTTGAATTTTTTAATGGGTTATGCTTCTTTAAAAAGACGCTTGCTATCAAGTTGCTAAATGGGACTACAGGCGGCGTCGGAGACATTATACGTCATCGAGCTGATCTGGTCTGGAGCGCAGCTCGCTCGTGTTGGGCATTTGGATTAGTCTGTTATTTAGGTGTTTTCATGAATAGTATTATATAGTTTGTAGTATTATTCTAATTGGGAATTCAGATTGTGTGTAGATAATTCCTTCACTTGTAAAGGCTGACGAGATTCATTTGCTAATCATTTATGCTAATTAAACAATATTATGAAGATAACGTTACTGCCTACTAGTGCAGCCGGTCTCTCTCCTGCTCTCAGTAATGCAAACGTATGAATAAACGTGTAGAACTACATGCATGTAGGTCAGTAAATGGTGAGTGCATTTTCATTTTTAGGGTGAACTATCTCTTTAGGGACTCAATACTTTGGTTGCCAAATCCAATAAAACAAGGTCTAATGGACCTTGTGCCATGCTAAGCAAGCGTCTCTCTCTTTATAGACGTCCGACCGTTTAAGCACTCTTTGGTTGTCAAAAATAAAAAGACACAAATAAATTGTAGTGATGAGACCCTCTATTTAGGATATAAATTTGCCATACATATAATATTTTTAGGTGACGCAGTAGATAGTGCCGTTGCCTCACAGCAGGAAGGTCACTGGTTCGAGCCTCAGCTGGGTCAGTTGGCGTTTCTGTGTGGAGTTTGCATGTTCCCAACAAACACACAACGTTGCCTCAATGTAGCGACCTTCCTACAACGTTGTACCAACATTGCAAAAAGGTTGAGGATTCTACGTTGTTGCTAAACGTTGTCACAACGATGTCATAAGGTTGCCATTTAAACATCACGAGGGCCGCATACTTTAGGCTGTGCTTAGGTGGCGTGGACAACCACTGTACAACATTTACTGGTCACAGCTGAATCAGTTTAAATTTCAACAAGCCGTCGTCTCATTCATCAACGGACGGCGACAACATTAAAATCATTATGTTAAATCTCTCGATAAAACATTTCCTGATTATTTACCTACGCTTAGTCTTTAGTCAAATGGAAAATAATGTTTTTGAAGTTCAGTTTTTTTCCATATCCATAGTGATCAGTCAGTATGATACTTCATCACACGAGCCGACCCACTTTTTACAAAACACACAAAATGACTTTTAAATACAAAACACCTCTGTGCAGTTTGCGTCCCGTTAAAGGGACAGTTCACTCAAAAATGATATGTACTCACAAATTATTTGCCCTGTAAATAATAAGTGATTCCAAACCTTCAAGTTTCTTTATTCTATTGAACACTAAAGACTGTAAGCATTTGCTTTCATAGTAAGAAAACACTAATTAAACAGTTACAGTTTTCCAGCTTTATTTAATACATCTTCTTTATTGTTTAGCAGAAAAAAAGCTAAATAAGTTTGGAACAAATAAAGGATGAGGCTAAATGGCAGAATTGTCAGTTTTGGGTGAGCTATCTCTATAAGTTAAAGTATATAAGTTGATGTTCATATGCCTAATTAATATACATATTAATAAAAAGGTCTGCTAGTCTAAATTTCTACTGTATTTTGATTTATCTTTTGATGTTTTATTTAAAACCTACTCTTTTCTTTGCTCAACAGGCTATTTTTACATGGAGGTAATCTTCTATTGATAATTTCTGGATTTTAAGTATGTGTAAGTTGCATAAAACTCTATTGTTTAACCACTCACTGTTGTTTTCAAATTACTTATGTAACTTGTCTTTCAGAATTTTTTCAGCTGTTGAATTCAGATCAGTGTTGCTGTAATTCCTGATCTATGGAAAGAAGAATTGAACGAGGTAAGAAGTATACTACTCTATTTACTATCATAATAAATGTAGTTATGTTACCTAAAACAGCATGTTCATAATGTGGAAAATAGATCATGCTTATGAAAAATTACTTTATTATTTTGTACAGCTGTTATTGAAATGACACTAAGTTTAACATTGCATTTATAGCGAGCAACGCCACAACTACAGGACCTCTTCTTTCTCTTCTTATAATTTAAGTAAGTATTGGGAGACTAACTCTGACTTCTGTTAACTCAAACCTGTTTTCCCTGTATCTCTAAATTTATTTAATTGTATGTAATTTTGGTATATGATATATTATTAAAGCATTAAAATAAAGTAGGCTACATAATTACTCACTGGAGATTTTATATGTAATGAAATTACAATGAATGTCTGAAACTTCAATAACTTGCTAGTCATATTCGTTTCCATCTGTCCTCTCTTGTTCACTGCCTATTTTGACTCGTGTCTGCTGTGGATCTCTGAAGCTGGATTATCTGTTGAATTTGTTTCTTCCTCTGACTGCTTTCTCCATACCAACAACTATGCCTGGTCTTCAGCTGCGCTCCCCGGTCTGCTGTATTCTCCAGTCCAGAGCTTCACTGCCCAGTGTCTGAATTTTAATTTATATATATATATATATATATATATATATATATATATATATATATATATATATAATCTAAACTTTATACTGTTTGCTTATAATTAGATGTGTACTGTATGTATTAAATGTTGTGAAATATATAATAAAAAGTTTGATTATATTCATTTGTTCTGGCAAAATAATCTGCCAATGGGGTAAGCAAAATAATCTTACGTCAAAAGAAAAAACAAGACCATTTTGCTTACCCCATTGGCAGATTATTTTGCTTGTTTTAAGGAAAAACTCACTTAATATTGGCAAATTATTTCTGAAAACAAGACAATATGTTTTGCTTGTTTAGAAAATGCTTCCTGATTTAAGAAATTTTAGATATTTAGACTAGAAGCAAAAAAAAATCTAAGCAAGAAAAGCATTTTTTGCAGTGCACTCCTCCTCCTGTTGTCCTCTGTGGGACTGCAGACCGGTGTTTCGCACAGGTGTCTCTCATTACCACTCACACCAGCGGCCTATAAATATGAATCAGTAAAGACGACATGCACAGTGGCAGACGACAGCAGAATCATGGTCTCTCTCAGTTTAGTGCTCACCTGTGAGTTTCTTTTTGGGTTTGACAAGTAGATGTTCAGTGAATCTACTTTTTGGCTGCACTGTTGTGTAGGGAATTTCCCTGTGGCTCAAGTTTTCTGTTAATTATAATGTGAATGTGATTAACAGTAAACAGGTGTCTTAATCAGTTCTTTTGTTTGTTTTTCAGTGATTTTACTGAACTCAAGCCTGCTGATATTAGCGAGTGGTGGACATGATGGTCATAGACATGGTCACGGTGGACATGATTATCACGGTCATGACTATGGGCCTACTCACACTATGCCATCCGTACCGTGCCCAGGCCCGTTTCCCGGATCGTTTGAGAAGTGTGAGTGCGCTGAATCGGGCTCAAGCACGGTTCACTTGGCCGGCCCTGGCCCGGTTGGAAGAGGTGTGCCTGAGCGCGGTACACTTGGGCTTTGGCGCGGTACGCTTGTGTGTGAGCGCGAAACGCGCCAAAGCCCGAGACCGAAAGCGAGACGTGACTTTTAAGGGACTGTTTCATATGGATTTATTAATATTCTTACTGTTCAGTGATCGCAAACTGCCTTAGTTTATTAAAGACGCAAACCCCTCACAGCACGCCAGCTGCGCGCCTTCAGCAGACCTCCTCATTCCTGCAGCACGAGAGCTTTGATTGTTTATGAGTGAAAAAGTGGCGGATCTGTTTGGTAAAATATCTGACTGCGTGTCCCCGCATCCCTAAGGACTGTTTGGCGAAATATTTGACTGCATGTCACTGCATAACAAACGACTGAAACGATATAACTAGAGAAATCTCCACTGTGCTGCTGAGTGAGAGAGCGTATGGCAAGCAGTTTTAACATTTAAACCTTGTTCTGACTATCCATAAATATATTTAGAGATATAATTATATATTTTGATAAGTCATTATTATAATTCGACTTGTCAGAATGACAATTAGAGATATCTGCAATTACAATTGTATTAGTACGAAATCAGATTGGAGATATCTGCAAATATATTATGACTAGTCATATTCCTCCATTGACTTCCATTGAAAAATATTTGCAGATATCTCTAACTGAGTTTTGACTCGTCAAAAATCCAATTCAAGATATCTACAACTGTAATTCGACTATTAGTAAATTAATTAGAGATATCTTCAAATATATTTGTAAATATCTCTAAATTTGATGAATTAAAGACATCTCCAAAGGTATTATGACTAGTAAAAACTCAGAGATATCTCTAATTACAATTGTGACTAGTCAAAACTCATTTAGAGATATCTGCAAATATTTTTCAATGGAAGTCAATGGAGGAATATGACTAGTCATAATATATTTGCAGATATCTCCAATCTGATTTCGTACTAGTACAATTGTAATTGCAGATATCTCTAATTGTTATTCTGGCTAGTCGAATTATAATTATGACTAATCAAAATATAATTAGAGATATCTCGAAATATATTTGAGTCAGAACAAAGATTTAAATGCTAAAAAGGCTTGCCATAGAGAGCGCTTCTGAACAGCGCAGCAGCGATGACGTAAGCGTGCCGAGGCCCGATATGGTGTGAGCGCGGGCCGTCGGGGGAGACGGGAGGGGGGACAAGCGTGCTTTGTCCCGGTTCGAGGCAACTGTACCTAGTGTGAGTACGGCCTAAGACTACTGCAGGAGGTCCTCTAGTAAGAGTTTGTTCTAAGAAACCTAAATCTCATTTCTTTAACCGAGTGATGCTTGACTTTTTTTTTTTTTTTTTCTTCTTTTCTCCTTTGCTCCATTAATCCTCTAAAGTGTAACCCTTTATTTCTCAGAAACTGTAACTGAATGTGAGGGCTCTATCCTGTGTCTGTCTTGTCCTGGTAAGAAGAAATCTCAATCCATTTAATTATATAAATATTTTACTTACTTTATTATTATTAATTAAATATAATTAATTACAATCCATTATTATAAGTGTTTTGCTAATACTGTGGTTTTTAATGTTTTTTTTTTTCCTCCGCCCTAATGAAGGAAATTCTAAGATGAGGATCCTTGCTGCAAACTATGGACGTACAGACAGAAAAACCTGCATTAAGAACCGTCCACCACATGAAATCAGAAAAACCAACTGCCGTTCATCCAGCTCTCTGTCCATAGTGTCATCATGGTATGGATTTAACAGACCTTTGTTTGTGTTGTGCATTAACTGATATCTGGTTTCTAATGGGTCAGTTTGAGCATATTGTAGCTACAGCTGGAATGAATCGAGTCCTGTTCTAATTCAAATGGTGTTCATGAATTTGTCATTGTGTAGGTGTGATGGACGTCAAAGCTGCAAAGTACCAGCAACCAACAGTGTGTTCTCTGATCCCTGTTATGGCACATACAAGTACCTGAGAGTCAAATACTGCTGCTCGCGTAAGTTATTATACTAGGCAAAGAAGCTCCATTACTAGTGTTTCGCTTGCTTCAAGCTTTGGGTTAATTTCTCTTGCAGGTCGTAGAAGCTGATCTTGCTGATTCTGTCTGATTTCTCTGCCAGCGTCTCCCCTACTTTGACGTTCAACTTAAATGCTTAATGCAAATTTGTGGCTTTGTTATTTGATAAATTGTTATTGTTTGGGGTGTTTTTTTTTTTATTTATTTTTTTAAATTAAATCTTTTAATACAAATTACTTCAACTTAGGTAAGGATGCTAATCCCTGTTCCTGGAGATTTACCTTCCTGCTTGGTAAAACTCCAACTCTCAAACACATCAGAACCAATTAATGATAACCTGAACAGCACTTTGATTACAGGTGTTTATGATGTGGGTTGACACTGAAATCTGCAAAAAGGTCGATCTCTAGGTACAGGGCTGAGCACCTCTGTACTAGGGCAAAGGCACTGCTAAAAATTTTTTTTTTTTTTTTTTTTTTTAATAAACATAATTTAAAATATCCAAGGAATTAACCTTTTTTTCGTTTATTTTCATTTGCCCACAAAAACAAAATAAATAACAGATTTTGGCTCTATTTTTGTTGTTAAGGGTAGGAAATGGATAAATGACTTTAAAATTCATTAACAACATGTCGGTGGTTTTAAAAACGCCCATTTCCTCTGGTCAACCAAATCTGAACTCGTAATGTCACTCTCAGAATAATAATCCTGTAGTTCTCTGCGGATCAGAACCCAGGCATTTAATTATTATTATTATTATTATTATTATTATTTGATATCTATTTTTAGACATTTATCATTTAAAAAGTTCTAGTTCACAGACAAATTTGCTGCTATGCAAATTATGCTGAGCAAGATTTCCAAGGAGCACCTGGGGTGCGTTTCCCAAACATCGACATAACTTGCGGACTGAACTCTGATAACGCGTTGCATCGTTTGGGAAAAGAACGATGTAGTGACCAATGTTTCCCAAAACCTGTAGTTTCTGTTGCAGATCCATCGCTTGAACCACGTTAGATATAAAGAAAAACTCCCATAATGATGCTCTAAACTGGGTGGAGTAACAACTTCTTTTGAGAAAACCCCATAATTGATTTGTGTGAATGATATTTTTTAAAAAATAAAATAAAATCGAGTGAAGAACAAATCTATGTATGTAAAACTACGTCAATGCACCGAGATATCAAGTGATGGCATGATAATTGTAACCAAACCAAATCGTGAGACCAGTGTAGATTCACACCCCTACTCGTTACAATTGTAGACGTTTTTCTAGGCTGCTGCATGTAGGGCGCCATAGAGACCTGCGTCTTCCGGTAGAATGTTTAGAACTTCAATTTACAGCTTTTACAACCGGTAAGTTGTGATCTGCAAATGGGTTTTAACAGCGCTTTGAGTGGAATACGGATTGTTTTTGTGACACAACTTTGAAAGGTTAAAGCTGTTATAATCTGTCAGAACTGTGGTTAAAGCACGAGAGAAAAACAGTATCAAAAGCCATGTTTTTTTTTTATTCTGCTTAATCGCGGGCCCCAAAGAAAGATGTTTAAGCGCTTAGATTATAATATGACCTCAGTGTCATCCCTGTGTAGAGTATATCTAGAACGATATGTGTGTCATTGCTTTTTCTGTGTGCCAGGTTAATTGTTTCCTCAGGATCTTCAGGCCCATTCAGGAGGTCATCAGGAGCTCTCAGGTGAACTGTTGATGGCATCAAAGCTGTTGATTTTATTTTTTGTTAGAGTTTTAATTCTCTTAATGATTCTGTTATTAGAGGAGTTTTCTCTGTATTAGTCTTCTGTTTATTTTACTGTCCTGATAAGAAGCCTGCTAGACAGAAAGACACCCTAAAAGTTGCAGTGGCAGTTCTAGGGGGCGGGGGGGCTGGTACCCATGTGTCAACAAGTTTGGCCCCCCTAAATTTGGACGCGTATTTTTGTGTCAAAACGCCACGGAGAAGTGAGAATCAGCCATCGGTGGCGCGCACTCTCAGTGTCGCGCACTCGCTCTCTGCTCTCTCTCTCTCTCTCTCTGCGCACTTCAGTTTACCTGCATTTGTCAGAAGTTGACCCCCAAATTGACACAGGTAAAAAAAAAGATTCAACTTCGGTCATGTTCATGTTGTGAAAATCAAAATGTCCACTGTTGATTATATTAGACTTCTGTTTTCAATAGCGATTTCAAAACCTTTAATATAGGAAGTGCTCGGCTATGCAGAGGCAAGAACAGTCGGTAGGTACAGGAGAACAGATGAAACAGTGATGCAGTTTAGTTTTCAGTCATGCTTATGTAAAAGTCATTTTCAACTCGTTTAATTTTGCCTTCATTCGTTTTTGATTTTAGTCGTGACATAAAGAACGAGTCATCAAAACATGATTTATTACAACACGTTTTTAAACATAATAGTTTAACTAACCAATTTTTCTAATAACTACTTTTTATCTTTCCCATGGTGACAGTGCATGATTTTTACTAGTTATTTAGCAAGACAGTTGTATACAGACAAAGTCCCTTTAAATATATTCCAGTCTTTGATTCAGGTTAAAGTGTAATTTAAAGACTTAGTTAGGTTATGTTAACTAGGAAAGTTGGAATGATTAGTCAAGTTACTGTATAATTGGTTTGTTGTGTAGACAATCAACATATACAGTAGCCTAATTATTTCCTAAAGAAGCTAATAACACTGACTTAAAATTTATTTTTTATTTTTTTTTTAAACTGCTTTTATTTAAAAAATAAACTAAGAAATAAAACTTATTATTACTCCAGATGAATTATTTGTGTTTTATAGGAAATACTGTGAAAATTTCCTTGGTTTGATTTAGATCACTTGGGAAACATTATTTTAAATTATTGGAAGGGCAAAAAATTGACTTCAATTGCATCTGTTAAAGTTTACAGATGTAAAAATGTGCCTTGCTGTACTTGAATGTTAGAAATGTGTTATCCTACAATACAAAATTACTCAAATAAATGAACATGAAAGATTATTTTTGAGTTTAAGTTATTTAATAAGCTTATTTATGAAGGCAGGGCAGCACGGTGGCGCAGTGGGTAGCACAAACGCCTCACAGCAAGAAGGTCGCTGGTTCGAGTGCCAGCTGGGTCAGTTGGCGTTTCTGTGTGTAGTTTGCATGTTTTTCCCTTGTTGCCGTAGGTTTCCTCTGGGTGCTCCGGTTTCCCCCACAGTCCAAAAACATGTGCTATAGGTGAATTGGTTAAGCTTAATTTTCCGTATAGTATGGGTGTTTCCCAGTGATGGGTTGCAGATGGAAGGTCATCCGTTGCGTAAAACATATGCTGGATAAGTTGGTGGTTCATTCCGCTGTGGCGACCCCAGATTAATAAAGGGACTAAGCCGAAAAGAAAATGAATGAATGTTTATGAAAACTGCAGAGTGATGCATAAAAATGACTAAATAATTGTTTAAATAGTTTGTGATGTATGTTAAAGTGTGCCCCCTAAAAGTAGAAGTGGCCCCTGCCCGGCCCCCCCAGTTACTTTGGTCTAGAACCGCCACTGTTTGCATGCTAATTCCGATCGAATATTCAAAGTAACATGGTAAACAATATATAGACCGCTAAATGAACGAATGTGCGAATATAAAACCAACTTTACCTCTATCACACACACAGAGATCTGATCTGATGTTCATCCAGTCTGTCTGGAATGACATGAAGAAACTGAGACAAACTAAATCCAGAACAACTTTGGAGACATCTCTAAGATGTGTAAAAAACGACAGTAAACATTGGTAAATATTCACTGTTGGCCGTTTAGATTCGGGCATGAACTTGCGTTAATGTTACGCTAAAACAAATGAATCAAAATAAATATAATCTGGTTAATGCACATTTCCTAATCGTAACAGTGGCCTACATTCACAAACAACAATTTATTCACATGTGTGACGAGACGGAGCAATTCCAAACTTCCCAAAAGTCTGAGCAAAACTTCCTCGTGCTGCTGCAGTTTGATCCAGATCTTTAGAGGCTCCTTAATTCACAACTCGTTACAATCAACAAATCAGTAGGCGTCTACCTTTCATTCATTCATTTTCTTGTCGGCTTAGTCCCTTTATTAATCTGGGGTCGCCACAGCGGAATGAACCGCCAACTTATCCAGCAAGTTTTTACGCAGCGGATGCCCTTCCAGCCGCAACCCATCTCTGGGAAACATTCACATACACTCATTCAAACACACACTCATACACTACGGACAATTTAGCCTACCCAATTCACCTGTACCGCATGTCTTTGGACTGTGGGGGAAACCGGAGCACCCGGAGGAAACCCAAGCGAACGCAGGGAGAACATGCAAACTCCACACAGAAACGGCAACTGAGTCGAGGCTCGAACCAGCGACCTTCTTGCTGTGAGGCGAACGTGCTACCCACTGCGCCACTGCGTCGCCCAGTCGTGTTCCTGAAGAGATAAAATACCGCGAGATGGATTCAAATGCACACGTTGCTGTCTGTTGTTCTCGCAATGTTTTGATGTCACACTGATCGGTCTGTTGAAGACGAATCGATTCAACTCCATTCCCAGAATTTCCTGTTCACGGCGGTACACGGACAGCAGCGCGAGGTAAATAAGCAAGTATTTTCATGACGTTAAGTTTATAGAAGTGTTTGTTTAGGTTTTTGTTACTATCTGATGTTTGTTCCTATTTTTAACCATTAGATTCTTTACACAATACTGTTGTAAGAACCATTTATGCATAATTCATTTCTGATAATAATTTAGTTAAAAAGGTTAAAACATGATAAAAATATATATTTTTAATAATAAGAAGAATTCATTGTAATTGTATTATCTAAAATGCATAATTAATAATTGATACAATTTAAAAACAGTTACGTTGGTATTTTGGCTTCCGACAGCAATACGTCATGAATTCATTAGTTCATACGTTTAAGTCAGATTGCAGTTATGGATGTTGGAAGCAACACAGTTTTTTGACCAAGCTGATCGAGTCTATTGTAACTTTGTATTTTTGTTTGCATTTCTTCTGTAAACCTTATTTAAAAGATTCGGTCTTACTTGCGTTTTTGCAAATACTGGTTGTTGGAA